CCCTGCTCCTGCTGGACACACCATGGCTGGGACAATCCAGGTGCCACCGGCCCCTTGCCCACCTGAGCACACTGTGCTCACAGTCAGCCGCTGTCACCAGCACCCTTCAGGTCCTTTCCCAAGTTTCCAGCTGCTCTGCCCCCAGCCTGGAGCGATTCCTCAGGTTGTTGTGACCATTTTTCACGCTGCACCCAGACACTGCTTTCCCAGGACCTGAAGAGACAGATCCTCTGGTTTCAGGGCTGGTTTCAGGGCCATGATGCCAACACTGGTGGAAAGCCAAGCCCAGGCAGTGCAGGTTTGGTGCTTCTGTGACTTCAGCCCTGAGTGACCCAGAAGGAGAGCAGGTTTATAGGTTGTCACATAACCTCCTCCTGCCATTCCACAGCTATGTAGGACACGCAACCTCTGGAGAGGCTCCAGTGCTGATAAAGCACTCTGGACTCATTGAGGGTTGTGCTGCAACGTGTTCCTTGGCAGATGGATTATCTGGGCCAAATCCTGCACTTAGGGATACCCAACACACCTCTCCATGACTTCATTAAGCCTTTGGATCTTGCTGAGCCACACAGGCAGCAAGACCGGGGGGTCTGTGTGCACTGGAACAGATTCCCATGTGCCCCATGTGTCCCAGAAAAGCTGTCCTGGCACAGAGACACAGCACCTGGGAAGAGTAAGGCAGAGGGGATGCAACCATCACTGTGAAGATGTCCCACTCAGTGTGACAAGAAGCTTGGGGCCACCCCAGGCACTGGGAAAGGCAGAAGGAAAAAGATGGATGGTGGTGGGGTGTTCACTCCCAGTGTGTGAGTTTGAGATTTTTAAGTTAAAGGATTAAATCAAGGCAGATTTCAGTTTGTGGTGCTGAGCATTTACCCTGAATCCTCCCCAAATCTCAGATCTTGAGAGAAGCCAAGTCCCAGCTGCACATGTTCAGCGTGTAAGTGCAAATGAAGTGCAAAGGATTAGAAACCCTTTTCTAAGGAAGCAGAGAATCGTTAAGTTTGGAAAAGACCCATGATCATCGAGTCCAACTGCTAAAGGAGAACCTCCCCTTCCACCGCCCCCCCCCCCCAGCTGCAAGAATTGATGTTCTTTCCCTTGCTGGGGAAAGGAACTGACCTTATTTCCAGCTGCCCCTCCTCCAGAGCAAGGAGGGGAGGTGACACAGTTTGGAGATCCAGCTGTGGCACGAGCTGGTGCCTTGGGCATCATCAGAGCCTCCAGAGAAATGCTCTGAACTAGGAGGGGTGGCATTTTTGGCACCTACTGTGCTCTGCAATGAGCTTCTCTAAAAAGCTGATTTGCTATGAAAGCACCCAAAAAGATCTTAATGCTACTGAAAATTCCTGCCCCTGTTAGAAGGATCCTCTAAAACCACAATAGCCTGAGCTCAGCCATTTCTTGGGAAATGTCCCCCAATCTGTGACCCCAAAAGCACAGATTAAATCCATTCTTGTTTGACAAAGACAGTGATATGGGGCTTCCCCATATCTGGCTGGATGTTAGAACAACACAGATTTACAGGTGAGCAGGAAGGTTTCCCTATGTGTTAACATAAAACAACATCTTTTCCTGTAATTCCCACGTCAAGCCTGGCTTGCAGCAGAGCTGGAGGAGACCTTCAGTGTTACACCTCATCTCAGTGTGAAATTTCCATCACTTTTTCCATTCTCTCTTTATTCCACGGCTGAGTTTATTTCACTACATCCTCCAGACACTCCTGTAAAGAGAGACAGCCTTTGAACCACAAATTTTAGGGCTTCAGCTCCAAATGTTATGGAAATGGAGCCAAAATATTAAAGAAGAGGTGAGGAGGAGCATCTCCCTGCCAAGTATTTTAACACTTGAACCCTCTGGATACTGACACACAGCTTAGCTCAGCTTCATATTAATTCTTTTTGAGATGCAGTGTTTGATTCAAGAATGCAATTTTGCTTGAGAAGAAAACTTTTTCTCCACAAGCCAATGAGGGAGATCACACCAATGTGACACCATCCTGGAGTGAACACAGCCATCAATCTTTATCATCTGAGATGAGAAGTTTGTCTCTTATCCTCTTTTAACACCAGCTGGGTCCAGGTGGCACAAAGACAGAAAAAAGCTGCTGATTTAATTTCTATTTGTCTCTTTTCAGTTTTGTTGGATGCTGAGCCTGTTACTTTGGATACATCCCATGAAGCTGCTGCTGCTCTTCTCGGGAAGGGTTTCTGTGTGTTATCCAAGCAGACCAAGCTCAGCGGTGACCAAATCCTTCCTGGTTCTTGCATTAATCCCCCACTCTCCCTATTTTACCTATTAATCTCCATGTTACTCTGTTTATACTGCTCTGCTGACCTCCAGTTAGACGGGCTCTCCTGCTCTCCCTGTCTAGGAAAACCAGAGATCAGGCTTGGGAATTTTTCAGTCACGCAGGTGATGTGTTAAAAAATCCTGGTTTCACATTCACAATCTCATCTGTTCCTTCCTTTTGTTCCTCTTTTTGGAGACTGGCAGTTGTGTGAACTGTGGGGTTTGGGGGCAAAACTCCCCCAGCTGCTCCCAGTCCCACTGGCAAAGGTGGGAACACAGGAGTCACGCCGGGGATGAAGAGCTGAGTATCCCCTGCATGACCTTCTTGCTCCTCATGTGGTTTGGACTGACCCAATGGTAAATAGATGAGGACAAAATGGCTATTTTTAGCCATTGCTGAGTGGATGGGAAAGATCAGTTCTGAGGATCAAGGCTGACTTCTGTGGTTCCCTGGAGCTCAGCCGAGCAGAACAAGTTCATCCAGAAAACCTGCTGCTCTTGATTATTGGCTCTACTTTAATACAAATGCTACAGGACCCAGCTCTCTGTCTCCCTGGGCAGGGATCCTGTCCTTGGGGAAGCTGTGAGGACACACAGCACTCTGTTCTCCTCACCTGCGTGTTCAGACACTCACACACCATCCCCATCTCCTTCAAGGGAACATCCAGAGCCCTAACACTGCTCAACTCCTGCTCGTGTTCTGGAGGGGGTGACAAGCATGGAGATATTTTCCATAATGCAGAAAACCTCCCAGACACCTTCAGTTGCCAACCAGGCTGTTACAGAGCTACATGTGTGTATTAAAATCAGATGCAAATCTCTCTGCTGTAGGAATATTTGACTGATAAAACCTTTTGTTCCTTCCCAGGCATAATTGCAATTTGAGGAATGCTCTTCTCTAAGAGAAATGTGTATTTAACCTCCATGTTATCTAGGGCTGGTTAAACTCCTTGTGTTCATCTGCAGAACCTGATAGGGAGACACTGAATGAAGGTGATATAATCTCTCATTTCTCATCAGTAACCCCACGGCCAGACAGCTTATATTCCATTGTCCAAGCACCAGCTGCATCCTCCTGAGCCCTAACAGCCCACTTTTCTTTCTATTCAAATCCTGTCATTTCCACCAACATCATTAATGACAAGATTTAGGACAAAATGCTTTGCACCTTGGGGTTTTTATTCGTTTTATAGTCGCAGCTGGGAGAAAGAGGTTTGTTTTTTGCTTTGCAAAGGAAGCTGCTTGGAGAATGACAAGCTTTTGTTCTTTCTAGGGAGCTGAGAGAATTGGCACTTCCAGAATTCAAATCCTTAGGAGGCCATTCAGAGCCAGGACTGTTAAGAAAATTGATTAGAAATTCCATTAAGCAACTTGAATGAACTGGAGTTGGCACCGTTGATTACCAGCCCTGCCTCCCTCAAAGTGACGTTCCCAAAAGCCTGATCCACTCTTTTTTTTTAAAGAAAAACCCTTTCTGCAAAGTTCAGCAACACAGCTGCAGATCCCTGACACAGAAACCCAGGGCCAAGCCTCAGACCTCGTCCCTGCACCTCTGATATATCTGTGACAGGCAGTGTCAGGCTGTGGCAGAGCCTCCACCCAAAGCCAATCATCCCTTCCCAGATTAACAAAATATCCTGCAAACTCTCTGCAAAATGAGGGATACAGCAGGGCAGCAAACAAGCAAACCCACGTCCCACAGTGAGTGTGGCACTGGGATGGAGACGAGAACTGAACAGCACAAACTGACTTCCCAAGCCCCTGCCATGGACCCCACACCAAGGAGATGTTGTTCTGGTCCTGCTGACCACATGATGTGCCCATAAGTGCTGGAGAGCTCTCCTGGTGATGAAAGCATCACCTCCATGATTCCCTAATGAGACACCTCTGGGGCTTTCATCAGTCCTGCAAGCAAAGGGACAACCTCTTCTTCTGTGGGTGATGTTGGTAACCCCCACCAGAAGAGTGTCTCAGTTTAATGAGACTGAAGTGTTTTGCTAAGGAGGATGAGTTATGTAGACCAAACTTCTCTCTCTCAGCAACTGTAAATATGAAATTAAGAGGTTCCCATCAAGGAAGTGTGGAGAAAGAGAAAAATAACAGCCCTTTATTAAAGGATATATGTGTAACTCATGCTGTCTGTGGCTGGCTGTGGCTGGGACTCCCCCCCCTTCGTTGATGAGCACAAACCGCTGCCAAAAACACGGGAGCAGAGGAGAGAAAAGTGTGACCCCTTCCCCAAAAAGTTCCTCTGCAGGTGGGCCAAACCTCTGTGATGAAATCCAGACAGGTCCGGGCTGGGGGCAGAGCAGGGCACAGGGAAGCTGAGGCCAGAAAACAGCCAAATGACCAGGCCGAGAGCAAAATGGCCTCGGAGCTTTTCCAACACCCACACCTCGCCTGAGTTAAGGCAAAAGTGAAGTCTCCCCTCTGAGGAGCAAAGAAGAAAAAACAGTTCCCGGGAGGGCCATCAGCCTGGAATGCAGTTCTTTGAGCTAGCTCTTTAATGTATGGGAATCACCCCTTTCCCCTCCCTCGTTCAGCATCTTTCTTCTACAGCGAGACAGTAAACCTATGAAAAAGAGTCTCCACCCTTACTCAACACCAAAAAGCCCCCACCAGGCTCTGCTCCTTCCTGCATCATATCTTGCCTTCATACCTATCGGAAGACCACATTTTTTTTCCAAAAAATTTGAAAGTGCTAAACTTGCTGCAGAGATGGGAAACCAAGGCACAGGTTTCCTCCAGCAGTCTCACGTCTGGAACTACAAGAAGATTTCTCACATCTGACCTCAACCACTAACCCACGGGGCAGTCTCATCCCTGCAAGCCACCCCCAGATGCTGAGGGAGATGAAGAGCAGCTCACTTCAGTTGCCTCGGCAAAGGGATGGCTGAATTCTCTTCGTTACTGTTGCACATCCCACAGCAGGATCGGCTCCCAACCCAAGGGCCGGGCAAACATCCTCTCCCCAGGTGAGATCTGCTGAGGGATGTGTGAGCTCTATTTTAAGGTGCTGTTATGTGACTGCTTGAGAAGTGTTTCTCTGTTTTTCCAGATCTTCAGCCGTGTGAACACAGTGTTGGGGAGAAGGTGGAGTCAGTCACCTCACTGGAGCAGTCGTGTTCAGCTCTGTAATGGGATTAGTGCTCACATCTCTGAGTTGAGTCACCATGGACACAGAGCAATCAGCCTTCCCTTCCCATCCATCCTGTCCCTCCCATCCCACCCTGCCTCTTCCTTTCCCATCCCTTCCATTTCACCCC